ATTATATCGAATTAATGTAATAATTTATATTTAAATCGGCAAAATTTCACTAATTTTCATTCCTTTTTTCTGTCAGAATGAATTTATTTGTCAAAAATTTTTCAATTTTGTACGCATGAAAAATCGAGAAATTTTCAAAATTATTTAAATTATTTAAAATTATAATGATACTTTTCATAAAATTTCATAATTATATAAAATTTAGTTTATAATTCGACGCATTTTTTCAATTCATAACCTCCAGCCAATTTAAGAACAGAAGAATGGAATGGCACATCTGTACATTTATATTCCCAAATGAGCCTTTTGCGAACCTTTTCATCCTAATAGCCAGTGCAACCTGAAATGTTAAAGATTCTTAGAAGAGTCTAAGAAATTCCCGTTGTGCGTTACTATACATGCTACTTTGCACATTCACTTAACGATATAACTGGTCGACAATTTTCATCTTTTATTTTATTTGCTTTCCACAAAGTTAAAAAATTTTTAATATTCTATGAAACTCTATCATAGGAACGATGGCAGATAGCCGAGCGTTTAATAACCCAAATTGCTACGTTGAAAACCAATGGTTCTGCTCCTGTCTTCGATACGGGAATGATGGTTATCTATTGTCTCCAACTGAGCCTCCGGCAATTTTCGCTACCAAATTAAAAGAAATTTGGAAGTATTAGAATAAGAAACAAAAATTGAGAAGATTGAGAAAATTTTTTACAGTTTTTTTTTTTTTTCAGAGTTAACAGAAATAGGTTATTTCTGTTTTATATTTAAAAAATGACACGTTTCTCACATCTCGTATATAGCATAGGTCATTCTTAACCTCCAGTTCCCTGCCAGAGACCTGCTAGCTCAAGATTTCTGCGCAGTATTTTAGCTAATAATTCTTTCTTCTGGGTATTGACCTCCGATGCTATTCTTGGGATCTGTTGAAGCAACTTTTCCAGTTTACGGTACATTGCTTATCGTGCTCCTAGCATCAATGAGACTATTACTATTGCTTCATTTTCCACATCTCTAATTCTTCTTTCAGCCTCTTTCTCTATCTTCTTATATTTTTTATTTTTAATATTCTTATCATTTGGAATACTATTTAAAAAATTCTGAAAAATTGCGTGAGATAATTTTCAATATTTTAGCGAAAGCCTAAGGAAACAAAAGTTTACAACGGACTTCATTCTCCTCGGTAATTCAGCCTGAAAGCGTATCATATTTGTTAATTTCAAGCGAAATTTTCAAAGAAAAAAGACCAATAAGTTAGAAAATTATCTATACATATTGAGATCACATTCTTCAAAATTTGTCTGTGGGAATAATATGGAGAGAAAACAAAATTAAAGAGAACCGGATTTTTAGCCAAATACCGATTTTTCCGATTTCATTTGGTTGGGTATTTCTGCCATTTATTCTTTTTGGATATATTAGGGATATATGTCATGCACGAAATTTTTAAAATTAAAGTTATTTCTTACCAGTGTTGGCCCAGTTTTGCACGCTTTTTGCATAATTTGACTTTTCATGTCAAAGAAGACTGCATCATTATACTGTTATTGTTTGTTGAAGGATTTACATGCATGCCAAGAATCTCTCCATTGATTTCATAGTTCCTTTTTTGGAGCTAGTTTTAAAAAGTCAAAAAATATTTTTACAGATTTGCTTTGGAAATTAGATTTTGATATTTATAAGTGAGTTTAATTGGCCAAGGAAATATAAGGAAATAACAATATCTTAATTTTCTCAATTCCAAGTAATTTTTCGGCTCAAAGCAAAACCTTGCGTTTAATTGTCGGTGTTTTTTAGTGTTTAGGAGAAGTAAGTACCACTAGCCAAAAGAAATATTCAACAAAAGGAAAAATTGCTGGATTTAAATTGCTGGACTCAGCCTTCTCGCAAATCGCAAATAGATTTTAGGTATTATTGTGAAAAAAACATTTATTTTATCAATCTTAAACCCAATTATGCCTTGGATTGTGGACTCAATTAAATTTTGACTTGGCCCAACAAAGGGATTTACAGCAGAGAATTTGGAAAAGAATTTGAAAACTGGCATTAATTGCAATTCTTCCAAGAGAAAAAAACAGTAACTTTTATCGCTTCAAAAAGCTTATATTTTAGCCTTGAAATGGCTATTTCGTGCAATGTTTCGAATTATCGTACATAGCCAAAGCAATAAAACTCTTTTACAATGACAATTATACAACTTTTCGCGAAATGTTTTTTTGCGAAATGAGGTCGTCATTTTCGTGACATTCGTTAAAATGTCGAGAATCATGCAAAATTCCTGGTAAAACAAAAAAAAATCCAAGTGTCACTTGAATTATTGCATTAAATTAATCTTGCAGTGTTGTTACAAAAATCAGAAGCAACCGTGAAAATTTGCCCAGCAATAGTCAGAAATTGTTCAAAGTAGAACTCTTTTTATTACGGGCGATCAAACGCAAATTTTTTAATTTACTTTATACGATATATAATTGTGACAAACGTCTTAAAAAATGAAAAATCTTGATTCCACTTGGCAGATATTGCAAAAAATTCGGACAGTGGCACATGAAAAAGTGTTGCCAGGTTTCTATTTTTTATATTAAATGGTTAAGAGTGGTTAAGAATAACAAAATTTTATTTCATAATAAACTTTTTCCTTCGCTGCACCTTGAATTTTTCATGCGTTTTTCTTAACATAGATTGTCTTTCTATTGGCTATTGGGATAAAACTGTTTCTTGCAAGTAGAAATATGGGACTTTAAAAAAATTCGAAGATACGATGGATATATTATGAGTTAAGGATTTCAAAGAATTTTTCATATTAATATTTGCCCCTTAGATGCCTAAAAAATTTTCCAGTCTCTCGATATTTTTACAATATTTCCAATCGTTTGTGTAAAAGAAAATGAAAAAATTTGATTTAGTACCAATATTAATGCATATTTCTTTTCATTTATCACTGCAAAATTTGTTCCTTCACTTTGTAAATTATTCGAGGCACGAGTTAATTGGATAAATGAAGTGAACAACTCTCAATTTCCATTACCAAGAAGGAAAAATAAGGCTAATCCAGTTTCTTATTTGTAAGAAACATTATTGCTGAGTAGTTCTAGTTGACATAAAATTGAAAAAAAACTTTCGAAAAACAAGCCAAATGTTCGAAGTACGGGACAATCATATTAAACAGTGTGTTCATGTTTACAAATTATTTGTGCTCCAATTTTTTCATACATTTTTATAATTATTCGACATTCGATCATCTATAAATCTGAGATGAGATTGAATAATATATCCGTATTTTATTAATAAATCACACTGTCTACCACCCAATTATTAATACATTAATTTGAATACGAATTTTATCGAATAAATCAAGTCAGAAGGATGCTGAACGAATCATCAGAGAGATACAAAAGGCGCTTCCTTTCCATCCGGAAAATCCTAAAATCCCTTTTACCTCGAAGGAAATACAGTTTTCTCTTCCATGCTACATTGAATTCTCATGCTCTCAGCAGAAACTCATTTTATCTAACACTAATTAATTAATTTTTTTGTGCTTAACTTGAAGTGACCTTAGAATTTTTCATTTCTATCATATAAGAAACATTGTTTTTAAATAAACGAGAAATCTTAGACTAATGGTTTGGTTTTTTGCATTGAATCGAAAGAAAGGACAAATAAAAAAAGAAAAGTTTTGATTTTTCCCCACTGAATTCCACTGAATCACATATCTGAGCTTGATCAATTCAAAATTAAAATTATTTCCTAATCACACTCTGTAAAATTTGCTTTCATTTATCTTCCTCTCTCACCAATTTTTGTTATGTTCGTTCCACTAGTTTTTGCTAAAATTCGAAATGGGAAATGGAAATAACTGGAGACAGACACATATGTGTCACTCAGGAACTTTGTATGATTTAAATTGATTGAACATTTTTGAAACTTTTAATTACAAATAATGGAAATCCCAAAAGAGAAAAAAACTATGAAAACCTCGGAAGTGATTTGACATTTACAGCTGGTTTTTTGCGTTTGCGTTTTTGTATAATTTTCTCTCTTTCTTCCGTGATTTCGGCCACAGTTTTTTGATTTTTCCGGATTTTCATGCAAACCCCCATTGGAACAAAAGCAATAACAATAAAATAACAGCTGTAACAATAAAAATTCTTTATTTATCCAACAAATATTTTCATTTTCGAAACATATCAATGATTAAAGAAATAAACGTCGAAATAATTTCTTAGGGAATTATGAAAATAATAATTCTTTTTTTCTTTGTTACAACAAAAATATTCATTAATTAAATGGTTTTTTTTTTCAAAATTTTCCGCAAACTGTTTAATCCGTTTGTATATATTAAATTCCTTATTGTAGGGAACAATTTAGGAAAAAAACAAAACGGATCTATCAAGAAAATATCTTCGTACCTTCGCAATGGCAATTATTCTTTTTCAAAGATACCTTTAGACGGCGCAAAAAATCTCTCAACAAACAATGTTTCCTTAAATAAATTTGTGCATGTTGATGCACAAATACACCGTGCAAAGTTTCCGAATGAAAAAATGTCTGAATTATTTCACTGAATAAAGTAATCAAATTAATGCGATCGAAGACTAGTAAAAACAAAATGACAAAAATACTGCGTTAACACTACTATAAAATTCATAAAATTAAAACTGAAGTATCAGTTTAATTTTATTATGAATTTCATAATAAGTCCTAAGAGAATTAACAAATGCTTGAGCAATTTTTTTCTAATTAAGAAAAATCTGAAAAGTAAAATTCATTGAATTTTTAAAAACTCATAAATTCATAAACCCTGATGAAATCTAGTGACCTGATTACTGCCTAAAATAAAACTTAGGATGATCTACTGTTAAAGAATTCGTCTTGAACCGGATTAACATAAAAATTGCAATATTAAAGGCAATCTATCAATTAGAGATATTCTTTTTTCATTTTTTTAAAATAAAAATATGAACTGTAGCATTAATTACACTTTAACGAAATGAAAGAAACATTCAATGAAATGCAGATGGCTGTTGAAGAATTTCCCGTTGCAACTGATTCTGTAAATCAGCAAGTTTCTTTTTTAATACTGCAACTCCACTCAGAACAATATTTTCGGCCTAAAAACAAGTACTTTTAGCCAAAAAGCTTCAAGTTTTGATTGTTTTAAATTCAAACGAATTTGGTGCACTATATTTCAATCTATTTTCAAAAAAATTATATTTTGATGCTTAACAAGGAGAAGGTTAACTAAAAAAATTAAATAAAAGTTAAAAAATTAATTAAATAGATTAATTAATTAAATAACTGTGTAAGCTATTAAAAAGCAATGAAATTGTAAAATAAATCTATAAACTGTAAATTATGACCAGAAAAATGATTTTTAAAATTTCTTATTCTTTTTTCATTTTTTCGGATAAAAAAAATGATCTAGCTTTTCGAATTTTTTTGAGAATTTATTGAATTATTGAATTAAAATTTATGTTCCAATTTATTTTATATTCAAAAATATTTCTTTAAATTCAGTAAAAAAGAATGAGAACCTTCAATGCTCCAGTAGATTCAACGCTAAACCAAAATTTATTAGGTTTCGCCATGGGATCATATGGGGCTTCATATTCATCCTCCTCCAGTTGGGAATTTTCACTCTTGGGCCATTCCTCAGGTTTTGCTAAAACTGTATGCCTAAGTGCATTTTCGGGATCATATTCGAAAGCGACACCACAAGTAGGATTCCACTTCGCATGTTCCTTCCCAAATCCATGAAAATTAACATAATTAATTCAACTTTCCCAGAGTGAAAAGATACCTTAAAACATAACTTGTTGCATCGAAGACAAAATATGCAATCTAAAAACCACTCAGTATTAAAAAATGAAATTTTAATACTCAAAATAAAAGAAAATAAAATGAATTAAAACAAATAAACAATTGTAAAGAATTAAAATTGAAGTAGCAGAATAAACTTTTATAGGTAGAAGAGTTGTTCTGATGAATAAATATTCATAATATAACATATTAACCAAAAGATAAATTGAAACCAGGAAATTATGAAGAAAAATATATACTGACTCTATATATGCTGACTCTATCAAAAGAGAAGATTCGGCCAATTAAATATTTGAATTAGCAGCTTCTTAAATATCTAATTCATAGCGGCAACAATTTTTTTTGGTAACGAAAAATAAAGATGTTTAAAGCAGATATGTAAATTATCCTAAGGTATTGCTGATAAGGAAATAGTATGATGAATAAAAATTACACAAAACAGTATAGAGAATAAAAATGAAAAAAGAAAAAAAAAACAAGCAAACATAAGATCTCTTTTACAATTGCTGGTTAAACTCATTCCACAGACCAGACAATTTTACCGGGAAGGCACTTGAAACAGAGGTAAATGGCCAGCATCACTTGGATTTTTCTAGCCTTAATCCCACCGAAAGTAGGACCTCAGCATAGAGAAATGATAACAACCCATTTCTACGGATTATAACTTACAAGCACCCTGGATTGCAATATAATTAATTTATGATTACATAATTGCAATAAATATATATATTTTCATTTTCAATCACGAAACAGCACTGGAATTTACAAAATTCGATAAACGAACCTTTTTAGCGACACATTTCATGTCGACTTCTTGGCCTTTCCTCAATTTCACAATCAAAACCTCCTCATTACTAATCTCTCCTGAGTTGATTTCACGATAGGCAATTCCACAGGCTGGTGATACTCCAGGAGTAGATGATATCAAATCTGCTGTTGTTACGGCACGAGTTGATTCATCATCACAACGAACATGTAAACGCATTTCGATAGCGCATTCTTGACAAAATTCTAAGCATGAACAATCGCGTGAAAACTGCAAACGATCAACCACCGAATCTGAGATTAATGGAATTAAGCCAAGACGATGAGCTATGAATTCATCATGAAGAACACTTGTATTGCAATCGATCTGAACCCAATCAATCGCTGAAAATATTAAATATACAAATATAAATTGGAAAAATTTTCATTAAACTTACATTTATACATTTATACTAGTCAAACATTTTATCAAACAATTTAACGAATCCTCGATTTGCAGCCTTCTACAAGATGCTAAATTTTAGAAAATATAGAGAGATATATTTTGAACCGTTGAAAACCAAAATTTAATTTAGTTTCATTCCACCGCATTTAACCAAGTCAAAGAGTATAACACGGACATAATTCTGAATTTTGAATGAACTTAAAGACTTCTTGAAATGAATTTCGAAATATACCACACTCAAAGAATTGGTTGCAAGAAGAACACAAGCGCTTGGCTATTTGCTCGCTCGACCTTCCCCTAAAGAAACAATAAGAAATTACCAATTGTTGGCACTTCAGCAATAAATATGCGCCGCAATGAATTCGCAACACTTAAATCCGTATCTTCGAGAATAAATTTCACAACCTCATCGTTCAATGATGTTATCGTGATATTTGGTTGATTCGCATAGGGCATTCTGTAAATAAAATTGCCAAATAAAACAAAGCCAGGGACAATGGACTTTAGATGTTCCAATTAAGAAAAGCAAAATGATATGAATTATCGCAACCACAAAAGGACAATATGAAATTGTATAAGAACATAAAAAAATCCATCCATCCATCTGAAACCGAACGAATGAATCGACAACAAAGAAGGAGAAATTCTGATTGAAATGACAGGCCCAGCAATCTCAAGGCGAAATGCCTAACTGAGTGTTGGGCTGTCGTGAAAGGCGAGGATTCGGTTGCCGGAACAAACCTGTCCTTTGAAAAGCAGGCGGTGCTGGCGACGCACTTGTATTTCTGTCGTCAAATGACTCCCTGGTGGGAATTTCTAACCGTACTAAAGGCCGATGGAACTGCCAACCAGCGACTACGAGCTTAACAATTTATTCGGAAAATGCTTTATTAATTTACACCATTCAGAACTTAAAATATTTTATAATCACTTTGTTCTTAACAAAATTTTAACTTAAAAGAAATAGCACTGAATCAGCGAATTTAGCTGACAGTTAGTAATATGCTTGAGCTCCATAAAATTGCGGCCGCGGGCCAACATTGCAACTCGCTCGCGTGTTTTACATTTAGTGGTTTAAAATTTCTCATGGGATTTTCTGCAAAAGTAATCCTTTTAACCTGTCGATCATTAATGCGATTTAGTTTTGAATAAAGAAGGAAAATGAGAAAATTTCCCTAATTTTTCCAAGAAATATTCGATAATAAAATTCGAAAGTATCTTCGTTTCCAAGTTATTTGAAAATTTAAATAAATTTTTGAATAAAATTCCATTTTTGAAAATTTTTTAAAATATCGTTTCGTTGAGCGGTTTTGCTCGCAATTTGCATCGCTCGCTCTTTTTGCTTTCATTTTGTCACTTTGCATAATATCGGCGATTTGCGTTGCGCGCCGTTTACTGCTTAGAATTGGGAGAAATCGCAGCTGTAAAAGATGGGAGATGGAATAAATTATTGCCGTGGGAGGAGTGGCGACTGTCTGGAAGAATAATGCTAGGAGGGAGGGAAGGAGAAAAGAAAGCAGGCGACAAAAACTAGGCGTCTTCGCGCGGATGCCATCTCCTCCGGAAGAAGACTTATTTCAGGAAGAGGAATTAATGTCGTTTTGGATCCACTGCAATATTTGCTATAAAACCGCAACTGAAAATGGAAATTCCAATATTTCAATGTTTTATGTTTCATCATGTGGTCATTTGTTTTGTCAGTCGTGTATCGCAAAAATTGGTTGGTTTAACTTAATCAGAAATTTTAGAAATTAGTGTTTATTTGTTTTTAAACAGTAAAATTTATTCAAACTCTATTCGTTGAAATTCTTTTAATTTTATTTAATAAAATTTCAAAAAATAATTTCAAAAATAAGCAAAATTTGAGATGATAATTGATTGATTTAATGAAACATTTGCTGTTTTACCTTTTCATGTTTTTTAAAGGAAAAAAGGAAAAATTAAATTTAAAGTGTCGAATAGAACGAAAAATCCAGGCCACGCAATTATTTTTCAAAGTTACTTAGGTGATAAAATAGAAATAAAGAGAGTTGGATCACCAGTATGCAGATGATTTTTTAAAATGACAGACTTGACCGTAGAAGAGATATCGAACAACAACTGCTTGGGCTCTCCTACTTCTTTACCGTATATGTTGACATTACTTATAATTTTAAAATAGCTCAGATTTTAAGGTTTATTAATTCATTAAAAAAGTAGTGAACTTAGATTTTTATTTATAGAACTGGCAAAACTTTGCTTGGTTTGTGCTCATTCGCCGTTTACTTGCCATGTAATCGACAAAACTTTAAGTGTAGATGTGAAGAAATATTTTGTGGTGTGGTTCTTCATTGAAATATTTTATAATTTTTGTTTTTTGTTTTCACATATTTAAAAAATTTATTTCACCATATATACATTGAAATTCTATTTATGGAAATTTCTTTTATGTTTTCAAATTTATGGAATTATGGAATTTATTTGTTATTCTGATGGAATGTAGTAATTTTAGGCAAAAATTCGTTTAAAAGTTTATTTATTTATTTAAAAGTTTGAAAATTTTTCAGCACTTCTTTTATTTCTTCTTAATTTAAAAAAAAAACTTTTTTCAAATTTAAATTTGAAGTTTTTTTTTAGCCAATGAAGATTCTCTTGGAAAAAGCATGCAAAAACATTCATAAAGCAGTTCAATTTCAAAAATTTCAGTCGCAGGTCATTAAGCGAAGGCTTTTGGAAAAAGTTCTCTTCATTTGTATTTCAGTTTTATGATAGCGATAACCTAATTATAATTTTATCGAAACACGAATTTATATAAATTTATGAAAATTTTTAACTATGTAAATTTATATAAATTTTTAGCTAAACTTTACCCGTATTGTTAACAATGCAAAAACAATTTTTTTTTAGTTGAGAGATTATGCGATTATATGCGAAAATAACAAAAAAACAATGCAAGAAAACAAAAAGTTGCAAATGTAGGAAATTTCAATTTCATTTTTACGAATATTTTAACGAATCATTTATTTTTTCATGAAATATGAAATTTTAATTCTCTGAAATCATTCTAATGACTTGTTTTTGATTTGTTTTTTTGTGAATTTTAGGGAAATAACAAGTCTGAAATATATCTTAAAAGGTATGAACGATGAATTACATCAGTCATTGGAATATTATCGAGAATTTGCACTGAAATGGAGTTTATGTTCGTTAAGTGAGTTTTTTTTTACAATATCTTTTCTTTTGATCAGAGGATTACATTGTACACTTTTTTTATTCGAAATATAATTTTATCTTTTCTATCAGTATGCAATTTATCAATGTATAATTTTCCTTATTTTTTTAGATCTGAAAGATAGTAGCGAGCGTGGTTCCAACGATTTTTCATCACGATATATTTTTGTATTTTTTTGATTTCGTTAATTCCAAAAAGAATTTCGGTAGTAAACTTAAGTTCCTGAATTTCTTGTTATAAAATGTCATTCCCTCCTTGTATTATTAATTTTTCTGACTTTTCCAGTATTTTTGATTATATTAAAAATTACTTAAGGATTCAAAATATAATCGAAGTTTGGATGAAACATTATCTCAGGGAACTGAAACAGACTCAGTCGGTACCTCGGTAACTTAATTTCCTTTATGAACAATGAAAATTTTTTTAAAAAAATTTATTATCTTCTTAAAAGAATTGTAAATTTTAAGGCTTCAGTCATATCCGAGCCATTAGATTTATCGTTAAAATCCAGTCGTGGAACATCCAGCGGAAATTCGCAAAATGAAAATTACATAGAAAAATATGATTTCACTACAAATGTAATCCTTGACGACAATTATGAATTGCATATGTCTCAAAAGATCGAAGTTTTTTCAACAGAAAAAGAATGACTTGTTTAAAATTAGTGGGTCTTTACACTTTTTGGAGAATTCTTACTGTTTCTGTTAACCTCGCTCAATTGCCTTGTCGAAACAAAGATATATATGCTAATTTGCCGTGAGGTTCCTTGGCGATAGAAATAAAGGTTACTGACGAGCGTAGAACTCTAACATCAGTTCCGAGATGATATAAACAACTCCATTCTGCACTATGATTACTTTTTTATAATTTTCTTTACTTTAGCTTTCTAAAATATCTCAAATTCCAGATATGTATGGTGGACATTTGTTATTGATGAATGCAAAATTTCTTAATTAATATTTATACCTCGCTATTTCATTTTTTAGCATTGATTCTTTCATTTTTAAAATTTTCTATAACTTTTCAGAATCTTTTAGAGTCTTTTATCTACTTATGATGTTTTATTCGTTCATCATTTTGTTGTTCAAATATTTTTTCGGACATTTTAGAATTTTACTTTTGTGTTATTTAACAAATTGCTTAATTTACTTATTACTTTAAGTACTCAATTTATTTCATTATTTTTTCGATCATTTTAGAATTTGAAATTTTCACCAGTGGTTTGCTATTTCTTTGAAGGTTGCAGAGAAATTATTCATCGGGTTTATATTTATATTTCCGAAAATTTCTTTCAATATACCTTTATAGTATGTCGGCTGTAAACATAAATCTCATAAAGCATATAAAAATAACGAACAATTTTTCTGTTTGATGAACACTTTTTGCAAAAACTTTGCTAATTTTTCGTAGAAAATCGTTTTCTTCATGCTCTATGCGTTTTTTTAAAAATATTTTTTTTCTTGTTGCGAAATCGTTCATTTTTTTTAAATTTTTTTCTAAAATTTATGGATAATTTGTTTGAATTTGCCTGGATTTCGCTCGGATCCTAGGTTTTTGATTTTAGTCCTTGCTTAATCTTTAACCTTTAATCATTAGAATTTAGCCTAGGCTTTCCTTAGTTTTCATGACGGTGTGGGAGTTTGGGGGCCAAATTTGAATTTTTAAAAGTATGAGAATCCCAAAGTGAAAACAGGATTACGGTCATTCAGATAAGGCCAAAATTTTCAAAACTAATAATTTAAAATATTTATAATCATACTGAAATTTGAGTAGATATGGGGATTTGCCATTTCCCGTTATGGTACTGTGTTGGGGAAATGTCATTAGAAGAATGTATTAGAAAATAAAGGTTATATTGGTGATGTGTAATTCATAGAATCTCGATGATTAGTTTAAGATTCATGTTTAGAAGAATATGAATTCCATATATGTTATTATATATTATGTATTATTTTCTATATATTTTCTATGTATTGTCTTTATATACTTCGGTTCTATAATAAATACTTTTGAATTATTTGGTGACTGAAAAAATTGGCTCGAAATTTTATTGTTTTTAATTTTTGTTACTTAAAGTGCCCTCCAATTATATTTTCTTTCAAAATATTTTCTTTTGATTTTTCTGTTGTTTGCTGATTTTATTAAAGTTTTCTCCAAAGAATTGAAATTCTAGCTTTTTTGTTTTGTTTTTTTGTCTTCTGCACCAACTTGAAGCTATTGTTTCATATGTAAAAATTCAGTTTTCCTTTCATTTTTCTAAAGTATTTTGTATAAATAAAGATTTTGAAAAATGAGGCAAAAATCAAAATTTGTAGCGAAAATGTCTAGTGGAAGTAAAATTTTAACTTTTGGTGCTACTCAGCCTGCAGCAGCAACACAAGGATTTAGTTTTGGTGGCACCACATCTGCTCCAACATCATTTTTTGGAACGTCTACAGCGTAAATATTTCTTTTTTTATATTTTTTTTTTAAGAGTCCTCACTATTACTGGTTAGACTCGCTCAGCTGGCTTGTCGCATTGGATAGATATGCCGGGGAGTCCTTTAGCGATAGAAATACAGGTGAGTCGCCAGTGTCACCCGGATTTTTTTAAGGCTTACTCCTGCGGGGAATCGAAAATCAGCATCGGCGTTCCTAATTGAGCAAAAATTCACTGAGCCATTCCATCTGTATTATTCCAAATTGTTAAAATTAAATATCAATCAAAACTACAACTTCTAATTTTTTTTCAATTCAAAAGTTGCGGTTGTATGTGATTAATTTTAAGATCTGCTGCTAGAACGCTTTTTGGACCTACAACTCCAGCTGCAACAACGACAACGACATCTTTATTAAGCAGCACAGGTAATCTGTTTGCTTCAAATTATTAACGCTGGATCAATTAACCAATTACTAATTTAAAAACTTTCTGATTATTTCTTTCTTCTTTCATAGTATGTTCTTTCTAATTTTTTATAAGTTTTTTTTGTAGATATTTTTTTATAAATATAAATATTTTATAAATATTTATAAAAAATTTTATAAATAAATTTTGAATTTTTTGTTAATATTGGAAATAAAATTTTATATAAAATATTAGAAATAAATTTATAAATTTATAAATTAATAAAATAAATAAATTTTATATAAAATATTAAAAATGTAATTTGTTAATATTAGAAATAAAATGTTAGTTTAAATTTCCATTTAAATTTAAATTGAATATTTTGTATGTAAAAATTTAGCCGCAACTTCATTTAAACCCAGTGGATTATTCAGTGCTCCCGTAATTCAGCCAACTGTTAGTCAAGCAGCACCCACATATATGCCAACGTTGCAGGATATTATTCAAGTAATTAATCGAATTTTACTGGGACGCAATTATTAATTAATCTTTGATTTAAAAATTTTATTAAAGAATTCTGATGCATTAATACGATGTTCGACGTCTCCAGAATTATATGGTGATGAGCGTGATTCATTGATTGCAAAATTTAATCAGCTTCAAGCTGCATGTGGTGTTGGGAAAGGATATTACAAAACTGATTTACCTCCATTAGAATTTAAAGTCGATGGACCATTTTATTTATATAAAGCTGTCGTATATAACAGGTTTGTTATTTTCTATTATTTTTCATTAATGTATTTCTAGATCATTAATTTTTATTTAAATGCTTTAATTTTTAGAAATAGCGATTATAAGGAAAGTGATGGTATGGTTGTTTTGACGCTGTCAGTTCCATACGAGCAAATAACTGATGGTGTTAGGCAAAAATTAGTTGATGCATTGAATGTTATTTTGGGAAACAATATTAATTTGCGCGCACATTTGGAACATGTCCGAACTTTGCCTGGAAATAATACAGAAGTAAGTTCGAAGTTAATCACATCATCATATCCATTTCAAAAAAATAGCTATTTATTACTGTTAGCTTTAGGAATTTGATGAATTAATTATTTTATTATAGGTATTGTTTTACGTAACTGAAAAAGGAAAGGTGCGAATATCTAGTATGGAATTATATAATTACCTAAAACAGCCAGCACAAGAGGCAGAACTTAAAAATCAATTATATGTCAGCAGTATAGTCCCCCGCGCAAGAATTGAAGGAACGGCTTTACAAAACTATTTGCAGAATCCCCCATCTGGTTAGTTTTTTTGATCTAACTTGCTTTTTCCTTATAGATATTTCACACGATTGAGATAATCATTTTCTATTGATTTGCTAAATAATTGTTCTGTGAATTTAATTTTAAGGTTTTGATGCTCAGATTTGGCAGCAAGCCATAAATGATAATCCTGACCCGGAAAAATTAATTCCTTATGTTATCAGGGGATTTGAAGAACTGCGCACTCGCCAAGAACTTCAAGTATAAATTTTTTTGTAGAAAAATTGCTCTTTATTAAGTTCTTTACTTAAGTTTTTATTCCATTAATCATGATAATCCCAATTTTAGATTTCCCAAACTAATGATCAGAACCGTGCTCTCGATGCATTAAAGGCTCGAGTTCAGGCTACGCATGGTTCCATTATTGATGGACAGAACGAACTCTGCTATTACCAGTCGGAATTCTACTTTTATTTTCTACTATATATTCTTATTACGAAAACACATTTTATACAATGAAATTATCATAATTCAAATTTTAGTCAGAAACAAAAGCAACTGTCTCACCGAATTCTGCGATGTCTTTCGTTACAATTTTTGATACAGCGATATAGTGTTAGTGTGGACGAACAAGAAGAAAAATTAGAATCACACTTAGAGGCAGTAAATGCTTCTATTTTAGGACCAAATCAACTGAAGGTTTTTTTTCAAGATTTTTATTTCATCATTATATTTCTTAAGATTATTATAAGCCATGTAACTTTATTTTAAAAGATCATACTTGTAAGAGATGAAAAACAACTTTAATTTTTTTAGCTCTTTATTTTAATTTTATTTTATTTATTTTTTTATTTTAAAGATTTATGTTCGTCATCTTACCCAAATGTTCCGCGATAATAGAGAAGCTTTAAAGAACAGTATTCCTCCTAACATAGCGATTTCGAAAGCATATATTGACCAATTGCGCAGGTAAGTTGTATTTATCATTTTAATCTACTTTTTAATTCATTTTTTCAGTTATTGGATGATAAATTGAAATTTGTAAAGTTTATTGATGCAAATTTGTTGAAGGTAAGATTATAGATTTATTTTCGATGAATATATAATTTTTTTGATTTTTTAATATTTTTGATATATTTAATATTTTATCTGTGCAGATTTTTTGACATTTCATAGAAAAGAAATATTTGTTAAGAAAATTTAGGTATTTGGGTCGCGTACAGAATGCTCTTGAAAAAGTTGTTTCGATTATTGAAAGTGATAAAAATGATTTGGAAATTGTTACGCGAAATATTCAATGATCTCATTGTCGCTTTTCAGTGTGCCTTTCGTTGTATTGTGTTTTGAAACATGTTTATCAATAAATAGTTCTCCATAGTTGCATTGATTTTACAAGCCTCGTACAAACGGCTTTGTATCATATTTTTGTATTTAAAGAGATTTATTAAATAAAAACGCAAAATATTTTGGTCTATATGCCTTAATTGATTTTCCAGATTGAAAAATTTTTTATCTTTTATTTATTTCGAGATGGAAGCGATAAATAGGAAATGTTAAGCTGATCAGTTGGAGAAACTTAAAATGAATATGATTAATGAATTCTCCAATGGATTTGATGGAGAAGGAAGGTTTTCATTTTTTATTCGTCAATTTGTTTAAGTTTGCAAAATTTCTATAAATCTGTCGGTATAATTTGCAAAAAATTTTATGCAATGATTCGTATGATTGCTTAGTTTGCTTACAAATTTGAACCCCATAATTTCATTTTTTTCATACATCTCACTGCAATGGTAATGATACTGGTGTTTTTTTTGTTAATCTTTTTTTGGTTACTTCTGGTCTCGGAATAATTTTAAAATAAAGGTTGCTTGCCTTATTTATTTTTCTCTTTATTTTTTTAAATTTTATGATTCTATTCATTCTATAAAAATTTTAGTTGCAGACAAACGAACAATGAAAGTGCTGAAGTTATTGAATACAAGGTCCTCGGTCAGAATTTATTTCAGAATCCAAAAAAAATTAAGTAAATATATTTTCCAACTTTAAAAAGGATTATTTTTTTCATTCTTATTTTTTTATTTATTTATTTTTATTAAATTTTTATTTGTGGTTTTTGTTTTTTTTGAATTCATACTGCAGAATAACTCCATCATGGGTCACATCAGGGACGAAATTCCCTGCAGAATTAAGGGATACGAACTATGCAGAATTAGAAGTTATCTCCGGTTTGCATCCATTGTTATTCGATTCGGTTCGCCAGCAAATAAGCAAATGGTATCCGGTTCAAATATCAGTTCTTCCTCGTCTTATTGCAGAGTCAAATCATATACCAGTCTTTCCTCCCCGGTTTTTTTTAAAATTTCATTATGAGTGAAATATGGTGAATGAGGCTTTAAAGGAGTGGAATGAGGTTATAAAGTGATTCCATTGATTGGAATTTTACAGTACACAATCGATTTATTCAATTGACATAAGCTGATCGCTGCATAGAAAGCAGCAATCGTTGAATTTCTTCGGAATAAGAGAAAATGCATTATAGAATTTTAATATATATTAATACATAAATATATATTTTGATTATATATATTTGATTATATATATATTTAATATATATCATAAATATATTAGAAATAGAATTTTTAGTTATCTAGTTATAGTTATCTAAATTATAGAAGAATTTTTCAAAGTTTATTAAGTTCATTACAAAAATTTTTTGGAAATTTTTTAATTTAAGAGGTAAAAGTATTTTTATTGTTATTTAAAGATATTGTTATAAAGAATTTAAGGGATATTGTTATATCATCACCAACAGGTAGTGGTAAGACTCTTTGTTATATTCTGCCGATTATCAATTCATTGCATACCTTCGGTGCTACTTTTTTAACAGCCATAATAATGGCTCCCGTTCAGAATTTGGTGGTGCAAATTGCAAAAGTAAGTTTTAATGTCATTGGTTTTTAGTTTTATTTACTTTTCTTCAATTAATTTGTCTTTCACAAATTAATTATTCTTTTCATTTCTATTAATTCTTATTGTTTCCATTTTTTAAAATTCTTTATTTTATTATTTTTTATTTTATCATTTGTCATTTTTATTTTTTATCATCTTTTATCTTTTGACCACTGTTAAAAATGATTTTAATTTTAAAATGATTTTAATGTTTCTTTCAAATATATTGTATTTTCTAACTGGAAATAAAAGTTTACTGTTTTATTCAGTGAATTGAGTTACGAAATTTCCATCTTTGGCATTACTTGAGGAAAAATTTTCAGGAATTCGGACGATTTAACGTTTTTAATATAAAATGTGCTATATTATGTGGGAATCGAGACTTTTCTTCGGAGAAACACCAAGTAAAGAATGCACAAGTTTTATTTGTTACTCCTGGTCGTCTTGTTGAACATATAGTTGATAGAAATTATCCCTTAGATTTTTCTCATCTGAGGTTTGTCGCTTATTTTTTTTTTTTAGAGTCTGAGGACAATTGAATAAAATTATAGTCTGAATATAATTGAATAAAATCCGTTTTATGTTTTAAAATGTTTGAATCTACATTTTTTATCGTTGCCACCTAGACTGATGGCTGTTTTCAATTCAAAACTATGAAAATCGAATGAATATTTTGATTTCAAGATATCTGGTTATTGATGAGGCAGATCGTATGACAAATGATGCTCGTTTAGAGTGGCTTGGGCCACTGGAAAATCTTTGCAAATGTAAGTTTTTTTAACTTGTTTTGTATATAAATTTGGAAGAATGAACCTAGAGTTTTTTGCTTAGATTCGAATAAATGGGCAAGCATCGACGATATTTTGAATGGAAGTGATTTGCAGAAGATTCTGGTCTCAGCAACTCTCTCGCAAGATATCGAAAAATTACATCAATGGCAGCTACGGAATCCTAAGCTCTACAGGTTAATTTTTTCATCAGATCTGAAATTGTAACAGGTTTGAACTTATTTGAATGCATACATTTTTGCCGACAATTTTTAGAACTTACTTATGTCAAACGGAAGAAGTAAAGATCAGTCAGTGTGAGGATACGGATTTCATTGCGAATACAGCTGCAGTTCCTTCTACAATTGAAAATGAAATCATTGTTTGCGAGCCAAAAATGAAGCCCTTAGCAATTTTTCTTGAAATCGAAAAAATGTCTGAGTGGAAAAAAATATTGGTGTTTGCTAATAATAAGTGATTTGATTTTCTCAAAAGCAATTGCCATTTGTAAATTCTGATTTCTCTCAAATATTTTCAAATTTAGGATAATCAGTTATCGTCTTACAACATTACTGAAATTGCTAAATGGTGGAAAATATCAAGTTGAAGAGTTTTCATCCAATCTCTTTGGTCACCGTCGTCAAAAAGTTCTCAAAAGGTTTTAAAAGTTTTCTGTTGAATTTAAATTGAATTTTTTATATCAACACTTTTGCGATCTGTTATGATATATACTATAAATATTAGTGATTAAAAATATAGTTTCAGGTTTTTAAAAGGCACAACTCGTGTGTTAATATCAAGCGACGCTTTATCGCGTGGAATAAGCATTGAAAATATTGATGCAGTAATTAATTATGACAAACCTCGAAACGAAAGACTTTTTATTCATCGAGTTGGTAGGACGGGAAGGTGTGGAAAGCGAGGAACGGCCGTGTCGTTTATTACGCCTTCTGAGGAAAGAAAATTTATTAATCCCAAAGAATCACTTCTGATATATATTATAATAATAAATAATGGAATATTAATCGTAAATTGCATTTATATCGAATTACAACATACACCTTAACATCGTTTTTCTTTCATCTATTTTTGAATATTTTCTCTTGCATATTTTTCAGAGAGTAGCGCTAAAGGATATTTTTATGAAAGTTGGTTGTAATGCAAAAAGAGAGAGTAAATTTACGATGAACAGAGAGGATAAATTAATGAAGAAATATCAGAGTGCCCTATTAGAACTGAAGAATTTTATCGATAAGACCCATAAGGTGGAAAAACAAATTAAAAACAAACTTAAAATAATTTACGAGTTGAAAAATTCTAAGACATTTTCAAATAATGGAAGAAATAAAGAGAATAATTTTCTTTGCTTCAGTAATTTTATTAAAAGATATTCAGGTGCAAACTACTGGGAAATTGCAAAATCATTTGATTCCAAAGCGGAAGAAGAAATGAAAAAAATTTGCCAAAAATTTTTTAAATTTCATTTGCTTCTCTTGTTTCTATTGAAATATTTGTGTAAAATAATAATAAATGTTTTCGTTGCCGTTATTATAGGTAATCGTAACTTTTTAGGTAGTCGTTGCCGCTATTTATTTCATTGCTTAATGTTTCATGGTTAATCTGCCTCTATTAACGTAATGAGTTAGTGCAATAATTTTGAAGTGGTATTACGTTAATTGAATTACTTAATTAGAATTTGAAACATAGAAAAACAAAGGATGAGCGGTAATTACTTCATGAAAGATTTGGTTTTGGAAAGTTTCTCATCACAGATGAATGTTGAGTGGACAGAAGCTGTACTTTACACCCCTTATCAGAAACATCAAGCGCTTTTATATGAGGTAAACCAATGATGGTCGTTTTGTTTTTTGTTTTATAAGATTAGATTACTTTCTATAATTCATATTCACAGCAAATGTAAAATGATGATATAGAGTTGAAGAGTTGAATCAAAAATATCCTTGAGGGTTAAATCGAAGCGAATAGGGAAGAAAGGAGTGGTTTTAAAATTAAAGTATGTCAATGCTGTGCGAAAGTAAGGCTGAGGCTGCATTTGTTAAAACCATATTTTTGCAATAAATAAAAGTGAAAGATGGTGTTTAAAAAAATCGTTAGTTTAAGGTAAAACAGTGGAAAGACTTGTGTTTATGGTTTTCTGATTAGTATTAATTGATAATTTTTTTCAGTATGCTGATGGCGTGGCAGCACAAACCTTCTTGAAAATGGCTGATTTGCCATACAAATTGCTGGAGAGGCCGAATGCAGAGTTCATGTCGCCTACGGGGAAAGTTCCTTTCCTCAAATTGCAACAACTTCTCATATCGGAGTACATGCCTATTGTCGATTTTATAGCAAAATATGTATTTTTCATTTTTTTATAATTTAAAGTTTGAAAGCCTTCATGTTTTTTGGCTGGTGAAGTTTAAAATTTTGTGTTGATAATTCGTGTTAAGCAAAAATTTTTTTTAAAAATATTTCTAAAATGTTTCTAAAAAAGCAGTCGGCCTTCGTTCCGTTTGTTTGATTTAATAAAAATTCATTCCTTAAAAAATTTTATCATTTATTCTTTTTAATTTCTTTTCAAATCTTGGACGTTTATCGGATTAAAATTCTGAAATGAAAATTCTAAAATTTATTGATTTGCTGACACATTAAAGATGTTTGAGATGTTTATTGTAAATTTTAGTTTAGTTATTCTTGAATTTTCAGGGAGTAAGCTTGTCAACCGGGTTGTCGGATACACAACAAGCTGATCTACAAGCTCATATTGCGATTATTGAAGAAAATTTAAAAAATATTGAAGTGAATTTTTTATTTTTTATTTGATTTAAATTGCATTAATAATCTACGTGAGATGATAAGAGTAAGCGCTGCTTCATATATCATAAGTTTGGGTCTTCTCCTCTGAAGGCAATAAATCTTGTTAAAGGTGTCCTGTTGGTGCTGCAAATCCTCTCAAAACTCATTCTACAGTCTGCTGGGTCTGGCAGTGTTAGAATAAGGGAAAAGTTTGAAGTATAAGAATAATTTATTTTGGCTTTATTGAATCAATTTCATCGTGAATTTTTTTTGATAGCTTTACATAATGTGGGTAAATGAATCAGTCTGGTCGCAAGTAACCTTTAAACGTTATGGTTCTGTATATTTATGGCCTTTAAACAAGGTTTTACCACATCTTAAAAAGCGTGAAATATTTAATTTTTTGCGAGCAATCGGATGGGACCGTAAATCACCAGAATGGATAATGGATTCAGTTGATAAGATTTTTAAATGCCTCTCTTCGAAACTGGGGACAAACAAGTAAGTTCACAAGTATCTCGTCTTTTGAAGGATTGTTACAACTCTATTCGAAAAATTTGTTCTTGCTAGTTCAAATTGAAGGAGTAGTATAACTGTTGAATTTCTATTAATTCTCTACTATTTATTTTAGTTGCAATGTACAATCCAATTTATTTTGGAGAAAAATTATGCAAAATTGAGAAATTAAGAAATCATTCATAAAATTTTTATTTCAGTTATTTCATGGGGTCATCCCCAACCGAACTTGATGCATTAGCATTTGGCCATTTATTCACAATTTTGACTACAGAATTACCATATACGGAACTTGTGAATTGTCTCCGTAGATATTCTAATTTGACCGATTTTTGTAAACGTATTGACGAGAAATATTTTAAATAATTGATGTATTACTTATGTTCCGATGATTAATTAATTAATTAATGATTAATCAGTTCACATTTTACGAAATTAAATAAATTATTTATTTTTGATTCTTACTTCAATAGTTTTCTTTTTTTTCATTTTCATTTTTTTTTTTTAATAATTACAGAGAAATTGTTTTGTATGCCAAAAAAATAATTTCTTTAAAATTTCTTATGAAAATGAGATTTGTAAAATGCATAGCTGAATTTACCAGTGAAGCAAATTATGGTGACATAGAGAGCCGCTAATGCTGCTATGGCACCTGCAAATGAACCATTCTCTATGCATATTTCAGTTTCATCAGAATATTGCTTCTTTTCTGAAAGGTAAAATATTTTTGCATTTAATTTTTTTTTACAATAGAAGGTTAATTCCACTGAATTCAAGCAAAATATCTGAGTTTATACGATTATTCGATTAGAGAAGTACAGAATTACATTTATTTTTTTATCATGAATACCATCCAAATTTCACTTTTAATGATTAGTTTAGGAGGAATCTACTGTCGAATAAATGATACTTAATGATACTTTTGTCGAAAGATTTTTTCTGTTTAATGGTAAAAAAAGTTCGAAATTCGGCTTGGCAGTGACTAGTAGCTAATCAATTAGGTAGCTTATAATATTAATTAAGCTGATTACCCAGCGGTAATGGCGAATGTTTCGATTCAACTATTTTAAGTCGATGATTTACAAAATCCTCGATTGAATATATTGACATAGACTCATTGCCTGATTTATTGGAACGTTTTTCTCTCTTCTTCTCGCATTGCTGAAATTTGCTGGTCAACAAATTTGGAGTTTTTTAAAGTATAATATTTGCAGAACTTGTTTTGAAAAAATGAGCCATTTATTATAATCCAAATTTAATGTATTTTCAAAAAATGAAACAGAATGAAATTTTGAAAAAAAGATTATCGTTACTTGCCATTAGGGTAAAAAAGATATAAAAAAATTTTACTGGTTGAATTGTGCAAAACAAGAGATTATTGCTGTGAATAGTGAGATGTTCAAATTTTCTTAAACAAATTTGTAACATGCAAGTTATCCAAAGGTCATCAGCATCAGGGAATTTGAACGCTAAGCCATCGGCAAAAGCCTGGAATTTCTCGAATAATTTTGTGATTCGCAAAAAAAATAAGAATATAAACCGATTAAAATGGACAGCGATCAAGGAATAAAAGGATGTCGGCCCAGAAAACCATAAAAGTTCGATTTCATTGCAGAACAAAGGAAATGCTTACTGATCAATTTAAAGCAATAATGGAAACAGGGAAATATGAAAGCAATGGTACCTTGTCCAAGCTTTCGGAATACTTTACGTGAGATACGATGAGTGGATCAATCGAGCAACTGTCTTCGATAATTATTGTTTTACGGCCATCCTTCGCTTCCGCGAAACATTCTTTTACTCGAAAACCATAAATTTCTTAAAAATCTCATTTTATAAAAAGGCTTATGTTTTTAAACTGGTTTACCATAAATGATAAAAGGAATGACAAATTATTTAAATGAGGTTGAGCATTTCATTACGAAATGTTGTATTAACTTTGGAGACCATCTAAAAGTATTTAGGTTCCAAGCTGTTCTCTAACGGAATATGAATAACTATAAGGGGTCAGCAATTATAATTTTTGCTTAGGTTCTTTCCACTGGCTATTAGTACGACGCTATAATTTTGCCAGTCATTTAGGGGTAGAAAATCAACTAGATCCTCAGCATCATTCGTGTTTTCTAGCGACAAGGTTATTGCTGTAGGAGCTCAACCAACGTGATAATTTAATCAACAACCACCCCTCATCTAATGTAATCAGTCAAATATAATTATGAACAGCAATGGTGTCAACTTATTGAAAATTTTATTGAAATGAGAAGGAAATTTTATATGGTCTTTCGGAATTCTCCTTTTTCTTTGCTTATTTTTTTTCGTTTTTTATTTTTACTTTAAATTTTTAATTTTTTCCAATCTATATTAATTTTTAACCATTTCAGACTTAACTACAATTTGTATCCACGTCTGAACTGGTAGACATGTCAAGCGCACATGCTGAATACTCTATTTGTACCTGAACTGGTAGGCATATGCCAAATGTACATAAGTTGTTGTCCAACCATTACAGTATGGGCTGGTTGAAGTGTCTGATCAGGTATTCTTCCTTCTACGATCGTTAGCTGCGTTGATGGCATTTCAGCTGTTGCACCGATGATCCCTTTCGTGCTGATATCACTAAAATTCATCGTTCTTATTATTGATCTTCCTCGAATTTCTTTAATTCTCCAAGGATTTGATGGGAAAATGACTATGGAAATAGGGAAATTTAAAAAGTTTATACTTGACGTACGAGATAAAATTAAATTTTGTAGCCACAGTAATCTGCTGTTGAAGGAAAATACATTGGACGGCGAATGACCTATCGCCAGCCGTGACGAAATTCGGATGAAAGCTGAATACGAATATGGCGAAGATCTCTAAATCTTTCGAATCAGCCTAAATTATTTTTTTTTAAATTTTTTAATTTTCATGGGAACTTTTGTAGAAATCATCAAATAAGCAATTTTGGCTTCACAATTTACTCCATTAGATTTTTGAGCCAAGCGAGAAAAAATGTTTCGCTGTTGGATTTCTTATTGTAAATTTGTTGTAACAAAATTTAAATAAATTGTTTTCTCCGAGAAATTTTTTTCGAAAGCCAATTGACTAAACGTGTTTGCGTAAATAATTTTCGTATTAAGATTCGAACTAAAATTAAAAGTGACGAATGGGGGAAATAAATTTAAGAAAATAGGTAATTGTTCGTTTCGTTTTATATTAAACGGTCAATTAAATATTTCATTGAAAATCGTTTTTTCTTTCGTTTCCGAGAAAATTATTTTATTTCAATATTCAATAATATAAAAAAATTTGTAAACATAAAAATTAGTGAGTGAAAATTATTTTTTAAACATTTCCATTCATTTAAAAATAAATTGTTAAGCGATCAACGCTCACCATTTCTAATTACATTATATAGAGCCATTATGGTTAGCAGTTTTTGATTTGGAGACAAAGATCAAATGAGGATCTCAATTTTAAGTGAAGGCCTTACTCCTGGCGGAGACGGATTCTGAATACTCGAGGTGACTGTCTGAGCTACAATCCTATCGGCTATCCTGCTTTACAGCTATTTGCTTGCTTCGTTAATATAAAACGAAATTGGAAGTTTGCTTTTCTTATCAATTTAAAAGGCGAAAATATATAAATATAAGTATTACTGAATGTTAGAAAAAAAATGCTTTTATTCTTTTAAATATTAAAAAAATAGACCTCGCAATTTAATTGCAATAGGTGTTTAAATGAATCAGATTTAAAAATATATTAGCATTTAATGCATATATCCAAATGATATATACGATATGTATATACGAAATTTTTAAAAAGAAATCCATACATTCCTTCTTAATTCGAGACCGCATTGAGCAATTTTGTTAAGAGCAATCGAAAACTTTGGATTTGTTGAATTGTCCCCAAGAGTATAGTTAACTGAGCAGCCATTAATTCTCCTCCAATTCTTCACAAAAATCACACCCTCAAAAAGATCCTCTGATCGTCCTTCTATCGATATTTTCTCGGGACCACATGTTACCGTTGGTGTATCTATAAAATTACAATACTTCCGGTCGGAACAATTTTTCAGTTTTATTATTTTCAAGTAATTGTGATGCATTATAAAATGCATGTAAATTATTTCTGGTTAGACTCGCTCCTTTAGTTTGTTAGATCAGATAAATTTTGCCAGGAAATCACTCCTAATTTGACGATAAGTTAGGTGGGTCATCAGTAATTAAAGGACAGGTTTACTCGCGCCGACGATTTCAGTAGTCATACTACTTGCAGTTAATTGGTAGGATGACTAGAAAATGAAAAACTGCTTCGATTTCTCATATTCAATGTATTGCATTTATTTTTTTCAAATTTTTGTCAATTGTCATTTATTTAGCTTTTGCCATGTTGATAAAACTTGTTGAAATTCTGCAGGAAAACCATTTTAAATTCGAGTTGATTGTAGCCCTCATTTCTATTAATTAATTAAATTTAAGACCTCAGCATCTTCAAAATACTTCCTTTTTTATTATCGATTGTATCGCAACGATTCATGATGGATGATTGTAAAACCAAAAACTGGTAACACAAAGTGCACCTGATTCAAATAAAATAATTCAGACCAACCTAGTAATTTATTGTCGATAGTTTTAGCATTTGATATAGCAAACTGAAAAGATTTCGATCATTTCCGACCACAATAATATCATTAATAATTCTTTTTTTCCGCGGCACTCACCATGTCTGCTTAGATTAGTTCCACTGGAGATACAAAAGCTCTTATTAAAATAAGAGCTTTTCGCCAGAGGGTCAGTCACTTGGAGATACAAACGAATCCTCAGCACCATCCGGATTTCTCTGTTAATGGTAGGTTTATTTTTGACAACGCGCAGATTAATGATAATTCAAATAGTAATCCAAGGAGGATATTAATTGATAATTAATCGCCATCAGTTTTTTTGCTGTCGATTTAGGATTAATCAATTTAGGATTTATTGGATCTAGAGAACCATCTTTACCAAGAATATAACTCACACTTAGAGCAAAAGTTACCGGAAAAATTTTTGCACTCAAGATTTTATTTAAATTACCTTCAAGCATTTTCTAGGCCGGGTGGTGATGAGATCCACCTATACTTCTTTCTCCAAATGACTTTCTAGGGAAAAAAACTTGTTCATTCCAGTAAGTTAAATTAATCGAACCGAAAATGGTGATTATTATTGAAGATGGAAGCTTGTTTCGAGAGGTCCGAGGGGAGTCCATAATCACAACGAGAAAAATTAAACTGCGAATTATTCACACCATTTTCTTTTTCTAATTTATTTAAAAATATATAAAAGTAAAGAATTTTTTGAAATAAATACTTACGTAGAAAAATAATATCTGAAGGACCATGACACTTAGAAGATGTAACAATTACAAATGATTTCACTAAGTGAAAATGTCCTTGGCCTTGGCCTTAGCATGGAAACGGTCAATCGTTGCGACAATTCTTTTACTTTGTTACCATTTCTCTAAAATCTGATTTTAAAATGTGTATTCACTGATGGAATTTTTTTAAAACTTAATTAATAAAATGGCGCTAACCATCAATTTATTTAGTTAACCATTGCTTTTACTGTTTCTTTTTTTGAAAGTACCATCTCTGCTTTAGAAATGAGTCCATAATGTCACTTGGATTTCATTTTTATGAAAGATTTACTCCCGTTAAAGGATAGTAATATAACTATGATGGTTCAAGCTTTGTCGAAGCAATACTCGACCATTCTGCCGCAATAGTTTCACATTGAGTTTATGGTAATTTGAATTTAGTTTTTAATATTTATTCGAAAATTGCCTCACTTTTATATTACAAATAATAATAATAAATGAGTTCATTTAAAATTTTTCAGATCCCAAGAAAAATCATAAAATTTATTGATGAAACGAGCTCACGCAAGGAAGAAATTTTGAAATTTCTGAATTCTCGTCTCCAAATTCAATTAATCGGCAAAAAATTTAAAAAAAAAAATGAATTCGCAATGAATTTAAAATCCGAAAAATTTTTGCCACAGACAACTGTACAAAATAAATAAATAAAAAATAATTATCGATGTTTCTTAATTCGTCGCTGTGCTTCTTCGATGACAACTCGAAGACCATCATCATCAAGTTCGTCGAGTAATACATTTACCGCTGAGACGATTCTTTCAAATCTTTGCTTCTGGTAAGAAAGATTCATTTAAACAATGCAATAAAAAAATTCCAAAAATATTTCTGGTTCCGCCGGTTTTCAGTATGATAAAAAATTTTTGCCGAGGAGTAATGGTCCATTACTCGGATTTTTCGGCAGCTTTACGTTGGAGGCATGATCGGAACTCTTGCCTTTAATAGCATATTATAAGTTCATCCATCTTGATGCATAGTTCAATTTTCAGTTTTGGCAATTAATAGCATGTTATTCTCAATATTTCTGGTTTGGTTGATTCCACTAGTTGTTAAGGTGAATCCTCTCCACTAGAGAAAATTACTTAAGAAATATAAGTAAGTCCTCAGTATCACTGTGGTTTCAGTTTTGACTTGAAATTTAGTTAAAAGATAAATATAAAACCTATGATCGCTTAGACTTATTCGAAATAACAGACCATCCGACCACTCCTTCTCGAATATTTATGTTAAAAATTCATGCATTCAGTGCAATATCATCTCAAAACATTTGAAATATGCTTATTTTTATCCCTTATTTTTATAAGACCTTATAAGATCTTAATTAGATCTTAAAAATGAATTGAATTCATTGTCCTTGAACGTAAAAAATTTGCGAATTCCATCAGTTTTTGATGGATAAAATGGAAACGGAGAATATTTTTTATTATATATTTAGGATAATGTTAAGAATTTATCATTAAAATGGATTGGATACTTCGAAGCAACTTAAACTTCTATCCATAATGATTCTCTGGCGAAGCAATCTCACTTTTATAACAATTAAATCAAGCAAAATCAGAAATATTAAGTTGAATGGTAATAATAAGTTTGTTTCCATTCTTTTTATCCTTTTAAATTTTCTTCAAAAAATAGCACCTTATGATAATTCTTAGAAATATAATATTTAAATAACAATATTATATATAATTTGGAAAAAAATATGATATATAATTTGTAATTTTTTCAAAAAACTTTGAAACATTAATTTGATGAAAACTTTACTTTCACTGGGCTTACTGATGAAGTTACTGATGCAAATTGTCTTCGAGGCAAACTTATACTACGATGTTGCAATGTTAATGGAAGGCGATAACATCGAGATTGCCTAATATACTCCGCTGAACCTTCGTAAACGCTCTGAGTTAATAAACTGTTTTTCGTGGTGTCGATAATCGAAGGAGAAGGAGAAAATTGATCATTAATGCTGAAAAAATCGATCATTGTAAATTTTAGTGAAGTATTGTATAAAAACATAAATAATAACGTGGTGTGGACCATTTGGGAGCACTAATACCGGAGTACAGGAATGTCATTAAAAATCTAAATGGTGTTAGTTACTCTAAGCGCTGTTAGCGACTTCTTAGTAAAAATCCAACCCTACTAACAATCAGCTGTGTTAACCTAGCCAACAAAGATTTAACCATTTACTTAATGAACTATGGAAGAAGAACGGGTAAAAAATCATAAAAGTAATTTTTGATGCGGATCTGCGATAGAAAAATTAATTAACCTGAATTCATTCCATGAGATATCTTGATCATCATTTTGCTCATCTTCCATTATATTACTGCACATCGATGAATACATTGCTTTCAGTGGTTTCTCATCTAAAGCATTAAAAGAATGGCTTGAAGCAATGTTGACAAATTGCGAATTATTTGGTAACATCATATCAATTACATGGCGTTCAGTACCACTTAATGCTTCAAAATCCAAACTTTTCTTTCTACTTTCGCGCATTTCGATCAAATCATCAACTGTTACAGCTGAAAAATTTAGAAATTAATGTAAGCTTGTGAAGGTAAAAAAAAAACAACAATGGCTAGATCCATAATTATGCATCGTTATTGGATAAACAAATGGGACGGACAAGTTGCGTGTTATTTCAACTTTAAAACCTGCAGGACATCAATTCTTGCCTCTGAAGGAAGAAAGCCTACCATTAAAAGCGAAATCCAGATGAAGTTTGGGGAAGAATTTATGCTTCAATATCCAAGTGACTCTCTGGCCAAGCTTCACCACAGCAATTAGTAAAATCAACCAAACTGTGGGTATTATGTGGTTAGAAGAATCCAATTCTTCAAATCTTTATTTAAAAATTCCATTATTTGTCCTTAATGAATATTATGAAGAATAAAAGAACAAACGTTTATCATCAAGTCGAAGAAGATTAGGAAGTATTTTAAGAATTTTAGCACGATGATTATTATCAGCCGTGCATGGATTATCATCGATCCATAACACCTTAAGATTTTTTAAATCTTTTAGATGTTCCAATTCATTCAAACTTTCTATTTTATTTCTTCTTAAATACAATTCTTCAAGCTTTGTACAATATTTCAACGCCTCCAAATGCTGTACTTTATTCATACTGAAAAGTTTGATTGTTAAAAATTAAGATTTAAAACCGTTTTTTAAAACCACTTTTTCTCCTTTTTCATGGTTTATATTTCATTCATAAAAACTCGAAAAAAAGCATAAAAATAAAATAAACTCGAAATGCCTGAAGAAAAATCATTAGATTCGTCAAGCAAATTTTTTTCGATAGCCCTATGAAGGAAAAGAAGAAATTTTTTCTTGCAAAAAAGTGGAAATGAGTATATTAAAATATAATTCTAAAATATAACTCCAATGATTAAAAGGAATTTACAATCTAATTCTATTGGATACAATCGTTAAAACTGATTAAAACTCTAAGCATTACAAATATTTAAAAATTCTAAAAAAATTTTCAAGAAATACAATGCAAATACAATGCAGTTTAATCACGGGATAAGATATCCGAGTTGATAATAGTTTAAGCTACCAAACTGACAGATAAGAGTTCAGTTCTTCCTTCTGACAAGAGTCATTTAAATATCCATCTGGTGCTGGTGATCTTCCACGTTAAGTACTTTTCTCGAGCAGGTGATCATCGAAAATGCTTCGCAAGACAATTGGGTCTCTAGAAATTTATCTCATTCGACGGAAAAAGGCGTTTTAGTCTAAACTTAATTATGACTGATCATAATGTTTATACGAATATGACAAAACATTTAGAGCCATATGATCATAAGGAAATCCACAAACCTTAAGTCCAATAAGACTTTTTGGAGAAGATAGCCTGTAAGCCAATACTTCAAATGCTGTCCAGCATTCTTTACAAAAGTTATTTGCACTGGTGTGGAGAAGGAACAAATGGCATGGGATGAAACAAGACGATTCATTCGCAAAAAAACTATCGAGGAATCTAGCCTGATATTTCTGGGGAAGTTTCTGCTTTTCTTCTGTTGAATAGGCTCATGTCAATGTATGACAGCAGGTCCAACAAAGCCAGATTTAGTCAGCAGAACATGGCTATATTAGCGAATTTTTCATGCTAAAAATATATGGAAACATTGTTTCAAATATCGACCTGCCGTTACACGCTTCATCGACTTTGCAGCTACCTTTGAATCGAGCAGTAAAGCAGCACTCTGGTAAGTCATGCAACATGACGGTGTTCAAGAAAAAATCAGATTTATCAAAGCATTTTATCGACGAACTTTAGAGCGTATATATATGGGAATTGATATATGTTGAATTAATATATATGGGAATTCAACTTTCTAAAATGCGTACCAATTTGCGTCAAGGCTGCGACATTTTCCTTGCAGTCTTGAACTACGCGATACATTGGATTTCCACATTGCTTCGGAGCTCAAGAAGTCTAAAAATCAGTTCAGAATAGTATCATGAACTTTGAATGTGCTGACAGCGAAAGTTGCAAGTGCTAGGCCACGGGTCGACAGAAAATTGATCTTCAGACCAATGTAAATATTTAGAATTTTTATATAAAAGACGATGAAAAGATCGCAGTTTATGAGTTTAATGGCCGAAGAAGCATCCGAATTTAAATATCTCTAATCCATCTTATATCTAACATAACATATAATGATCAGGCGGAAGATGGAATTGCAGGTAGCTGCAACCAGAGGTGCATTTTTTCATCTGAAGAAATCTCTGTAATCGTCGCGAAATCAACCACAAAAGAAAAGCATTCATTTGGGCTGTAATACGCACATTCTTGCTATACGTCTGTGAAATTTTACCAGTTAGAGTGGAAAATATTAGGAAAAAAAACCATCTTTGACCACTTTTGCCTAAGATGCCATGTTACTGCAAAGTGGACAGATTCTCATATGACTGCATCCCCCTTCGCTCGAAAGCTATCTATATCAAGTGCATCGTCATCTGCGGTGAGTTAACTATCTTTTTCACCTTTCACCGCAAAAATTGATGCATATTTCGCTGAATTCTATGATGAATGGCGTCAAAAACAAGAAAGACCAATTAAAACTTGGATTGCTATAGTAATTGAGGCTTTAAACGCACTGGCGTCCTTAAAAGCGATATGTGTTCTTAGACAATGGAGAGAGGAGTGGCTTCAGTATTGGCCTTGGAGGCTAGAAAACGTCTTACCCTAGTTCCCAGTAGATAAAGCTAAATGAGCAACAAGTACGAGCCATTGTATGATGGAATGACTCCTAATAAAATTTCTAAATTCTACCAACGGATATGTCTCAAAAATATGTGAGCAAACCATTTACTTTTTTTTAATGACAATTTGATGACAATTCATAAGCACAGAAACACTTGATTAATGGGAAAAGTAGGTTACCTGAGTGATAAAACTTGTAGATTTATCATTTGCGAGCATATTTCGATATCATCTATGTCACAACCCCTAAAATTTAATGAAAATATTTAAAAAACAAAGCAATTTTAAAAAATCTGGAATCTGGAAACATTATTATTGATTATAGATGATTACCTTCGTTTGGATAACTCAAAGTTTTTTTTCCTCTTTTATTTTCTTAAAATTGGTTTCTAAATTTTCTAATTTTTTAATTTTTTCACCTTCTCTTCGTCTTCGACAGGAGCAAACCTGTCATGCCAAAAATCCGAGTGGCTGCTGGGGACCCACCAGTAATTCGATCCCCGAGTAGCTTTACCGTGAAATATCAGATTCTCTTCATACTGCATCTGCGTCCTCAACATGCGCATGATACTCCCATCCGGTGGTACATGCCATAAGTACAATCAGGGCGTGAAACCAAACCTCATAAATAAAATAAAATGTGCTCAAAAACTAGGGCAGTTCCTCGAAACATATTAGTGCGAACTGCTCTCTATACTCACTGCAAGATGTTAGTCATATAAGCTTAGAACGTCAGAGCGCTTATGGACGTTGCGAGCCAAGCGATCATTGTCCACACTTTTTCTAAATATTATGTGGATATCGCTTCCTTGTTGGAGGTCCATTATCCTCATTTCGAGCCACGAGTAATCATTAATCCTGGCTCGAAGAGGTACTGGATATATCATTAAAATAACTCGGGGTGAAATGGCATAACGATTGTCATGCTTTGATTGACAGAAAAAGGAATAATCTCCGTTGGAGAAGATGGTCTTCGGGCTGAATTCTTCAAATGTCCATCGTCCTTCATAACGCACCTTCAATAAATATACTTTTTGGCATGGAAAAAAGAAATACTACCAGATGACTGGAACAAAGAAATTCTGTTCCCAATTTTCAAGAAAGATGACAGGATATACTGCGACAATTATGAAGGAATCAGCCTTTTAGATGTCTCAGCGAAAATTTTTATTTCCCTTTTACTCAATAGACTTATGGCAGAATCAAGAGATCTTAAGCTCAATGCAAGCCTATTCGTTTTATATATAAGAAACTAATAAAATACTATTTTTATAAACTCATTGCCGATTGATGAAGTGCCCGATTTTAAATATCTTGAATCCACTCTAATTCGTATTAACGAATGGTCAGGCAAAAGATGAATCAACATGAATAAAGAGAAGTAATTAGAAATAATTTTTTCGATGACGAAATCTTTATGAAGCCGTTGCCCAAATCACCTTAAAAATGAACTTCTATATAACCACGATTTGCTCGATCTTGCTATATGGCTGCGAGACATGGCCAATGGAAGTGGGTGATATTAAGAAGCTATCTGCTTTTGACCACTCATGTATAAGGTACATTTTACGGGTTCGCCCAGTAGATAAAATCTCACATCTCACATAATCGCATCCAATTTCGTTCAAATACCACTTGATTAACAGCGCTATGCATCATCTTCGCTGGTTTGGACACGTTCACCCACCACTAGAGTTGACACATGTTTTGTTATTTGCTAAACTCTATGATGGGTAGCATCAAAAGCAAAGTGGACCAATGAAGATTTGGACTGGTAGGTCAGGAAAGATTTTGAATGTATAGATGGTCCAGCAATATATGAACTTAAACGATGGAAAAAGGAATGGCTTCTATTACTGTCGAATGGCATCATCAGATGGTGCAATTTGAAAACATCTTACGCTTGTAGCCAGTGAAGCCAGCCTCACTATTAATGGTGAGAGCTGTTAGAAGAAAAAGAAAAGTAGAATGAAATATATATATATATATATAATGAATATATAATGAAACTTCAGGTTTCTTAAAAATTCAGCTTTGATGTTCACATATCGTCGTTTCATCAATAAAATCAAATACTATAATAATATTAAAATAAAAAGATGTGAAATCATGTGAAAAAAAGTGAAGACAAAAGTTTTATCCCAGGTGTGGTAATCCAAAATACCATGAATCCATGTTAAAATGAAAGGATTATAAGTTCTTTAACGGTAAAAATCAAATGCTGAATATTAAATGTTGTTTCGATTTAGGTCAAGTATCAAGAGTTTGTTTCTCTTGTTAAAGAAAGTCTTGTCATTAAAGCCTGAGTGATGTTGAAGAGTTCTTCTAACCCCGGTTAGCCCGGTAATCCTAATCCTAATCGTCAGTGGATTCAGGATTTACGTTATTATATGTCATTAATGAAAAGCTTCCGAAATAAAAATAAGATTCTTCGGAAGAAAAGTACTGGTAAGCATTCTTAAGAAAGTATTTCAAAGATCAGTTCATATAATATAAGTAAATAAAAATTAAGAATGAAAAGAATTTAGGTAAGTGGCTGAAGATAAAAACAAAAAAATGGGCAAGAAATGTACTCGGGAAACGAGTGTTGCCACTTTGAGATTCTGCTATGGAAATGACGATTTAGCGGAAATAATATGTTTAGCAATCTTTCAATGTCATCCCTTTTTGCACTAAATTTTCCGCTGAATAATTAATTAGTTAACACGATGACACCTAATATGGTAATTAGTACGATCATTTAATCCATAATAATAAATAAAGATTTAAAAAAATTGATAATGTTTGAAAGAGTGGGATGTGGCTCGCACCGCGTTTCGCGACAAAGATGTATAGAAGCAACTATTTTGAGGAATCAGTGAAAAACTGTGAATTAATATGTTTGGCATCGTCTGGCTCACTGTGTGCCTGC